AAATGGCCGTCATAGCCCCTGCGACCATGAGCCTGCGGTTTACAACAGCAGCTACCCAAGCCCGGAATGCGAACTCTTCAACATGTTCTTCAGCCCAAGAGGCAAACGCAGACGACTGGCCCGCAAGCCGCAACCCAGCCGTCCAACATGCAGACCGCGCATGGCGTGAACTGCGATAAAATGATGAGAATGTGTGCATCTCTCTCGATGTCTTTGAATGTAGACTGCTTCTGTATGACGAAGGAGTACTACAGAAGCGTCGAGAGCTTCTTCAGCTGGCCTTGGGTCAGATGTTGGATATGTTTGTTCTAGTTCCGCGTGGAGGGACCCGAAACTTCGGGAACCCTGTGCCCTCCACAAGTTTCAGTTCTTGTCTCGCCTCGATGTGGGATTGAAAGTTTGTGAGCGCCGACAGGGAAACAAGACCGACTCTGGAGCAGCTTCGACGGTACGCAAGCCACAAGAAGACTAGACTTACGAAACCACTGGAGCATGTGCGCGTCGAGCCAAATCCTATGCCCACACTGGCAGCAGAACCTGTCAACGCCTGGACCCCTCAGTCTCAAATGCGGGTCTCCGACTCCCTCCATCCCAAATACGTAGCCGAAGACCAGGCTCTACAGGCATTAGCCCAAAACCCTCCCCCCCAATCCTACGGCTTAAACATAAGTCCTGAACTAATCCCGAAACCAACGCACCAAACAAGAACACAGTCCATACCCTCTGAACCATCCTTTGAGCAGAGAAGCAGTTGCTAACAAATACCCAGCATTTGACCAAGGAAGCTTCAACCTCCAGGCGATCTCACCGTCGGACAGGTGAGGTGCTAGTACTCATGCTAGCGGCGCAATCATTATTGTTCAAATTTCTGTGTTGTACTCGTGTTAAAGTGCCCATTAGCTGCAGCCTGCTTCTGATTTCAACTTTCTGGCTTTCCTGTACGCCCTTGAAGGGACACCAACGCCGAAATTCCGTCGGATTCTTTTCGTCACGGACTGATATCTGCCTTAGCATGTTCGAAGGAGGTGCAGAAGCCCGAGCCTGCGGAAACATGTCCCACTGCAGATGGGCCGGGGTTTCCTGCACGCTTCAAGCCTTCCGGAGCCTGAGCGCTTATCTTAACCTGGGCCTTGAGCCTAGCTGCCGCCGTTTGTTTCTAATGACCAGAGAGCCCCCACACGCAAGACGGATCCGTCGAGCTCCCAGGATCGAGGAAAACAACTGGGTTGAGGGAGGGGGTTTAGAAGCTCCCCTGCATGGCTTCCCAAATCGATGCAGATTCCACCATCTAGCGACCGCAAAGAGGGCATGGTATACATCCACCTGCTTGAACAGCGTTCCTTGAAGCCTAAGACTCTAAGATGTTTGCTGCCACATCAGTTTGATCCCTGATCTTCCCCTCAATGCTCTAGGGGCTTATGAGACCCTCGCCCTATGCAAGCTCGAAGCTAAGCCCTGCACTGCACTGCACCGCACCCTGACGGCCCTGACCCCTTTGCTCTTTGCAGAGTGCAGTTACTTGGGCCTGGCGTGACTCCAGCAACCCAAACGGAAGGCTCCCAACAGCCGAAACCCACGGAAATACAAGAGCCTTGGGACAGCAGCAACTGTCAACTGCTGAAATGCGCTCCCGGCTTCGGCAGTCTCAGGGTGGGGTGCAACTAAATCTGTTTTCGGGATTCGCGCTACGAGGGTCAGTGGGCGAAGTCAGGGCTTGCAGCAACGTTGACAGGAGCTGCACGGCATTCAAGCGCCCGCTATTGCGGGACCGCATGTGCAGGAGCATTTGGGAGCATCGCATTGCAATGCCAGCCTGTGGACGTCTAAACCGTGTATTGCTATTCTTTGCGGATTTTGTTAGTCCCGAAGAAGGCTTTGGGTTCTCTCGGTAAGCCATAAACCGTCTGAATCCCCATGGCTGCAGCGGAACTGCGGCAAAACTGTTGTTTAGGGTTCGGGGATTCAAAGCTTCGGGTTGGGAGTTGCGGGGCTTTAACTGCCAGATTGATCAATGACGCAGGGGTTCGGATTCGACACCGTGCATTCGAAAATCCCCTCTGGGAACCTGAGCCAGGTTTCGGGTGTAAGGCTGTTAGCAGCGGTGCACCTTTCTCAAAGCCGAGCTCACAGCCGTTTAGGCTTTGGTTGAAGCTGAGGGTATAGGGCGTTTGGTGCAGAGCTTGAGGTTTGGTTCGTTTGGGTTGGGGGCTGGTTGCAACGTGTTTCGACGCAGCTTCCCAAGTGCTCGTAGCTAAGATTAAACTGCCTCGCCACAATCACGAGAACGGGCACTCAGAGAAAGAGACCACATTCACTTGGGGTGTCCGACGTCCGGAGCTGTGAACGTGTTAGCTGGACCCCCGGAATTCGAACTCAGCTATTCTAGCTCTGTTCCGGCTCTCATGCGCCTTTAGGAGTGCAAAACCTAGGGCCTGGGTTAAAATATTGCAGCAAAAAATCCTCACGCGAGCTAGGATTTTTATTCTGCGTCGCGCATCGGAGATGTAAGTGGTACTCAGCCTTCTCTAATGGACGGAAACAAACTTCTTGCTGCGAGTGATGCCCTTGCTGTTCCATCGGGGTTGCCAGTCTTTGTCGTAGGTCCAACCTTAACCAGAACTGTGCAGAATAAATATTCGTTGCGCTGCATGAGCCCTGCCACTTGGGAGATTCCAGAGGGCCCCTTCGTCGCGCAATCGTTTCGAACCTTGAGAAACGAAGGCGAATCGTGTATCTTATCTCTAGGCTGGGTGAAACGGGGGATGCTCGGCACACACTCGCAAGCTTGGCGATTCATGAGCAAGACGTGTAGTAAAGGTTCGGCTAAACCGGCTAAACCTGAAATCCTAAACCCTCAACACGGCTAAACCTTGACACCCTAAAACCCTACGTCCTAAAACTGTAAGTCCCTGGACCCCTAAGCCCCTAAACCCCAAGCGTATCTAAAGCTTAAACTTATATCCGGAACCCTCAGTTTCGGGCAAAGTTTAAAGTTCTACCAAAGTGCATCGATGTTGTGCGGTCAGGCAGGGCGACCTGCACCCTTAAGAAAAACCGCGGAGGCCTCAGACTACATGATGTCGTCCCCTACATCAGAAAGCTTACGAGGTCGCTTTGAGGAGCTTGCACATGCCGTGTTCAGGCTTATGTCTACGATCGAGTTGGGTCTAGACTGGCCTTTGCCTTCACGAAAACTACATGACAAAGCCTTCAGTGTGCCACGGAATCGAATGCCGAGTGTCGCTTGGGTCTAGGGTGGTAAATCTAGACCCTGGTGATACAATAAACTAGTCAGATTCCCACCATGACCGGTTCAGGCCAATAATTCAAGGTTCAGGGCTTAGTCGATTGTATGTAGGGCATGAACAACCTTACATACTCAGAGCCAGGATACAATAGCTGCCAGGGCCGAAGCTCAAGATGGAAATGAGGTGATAATCTTAGCCTCAAGCGCATCTTGCTATATCAGGTTTTGGTGAACCACTAGTTTCCTGTGTGGGATTTTCACGGAATGCGGGCAGGGGTCAAGATCGCAACAGTCATGGTAGTTGTGCCGACAGTAGCCGTAACGGTGGGTAGCAATAGCAGCGGGAAGTAATAGTAGTAGGTAGCATTAGTACTACCGATGACCACTATAAAATCAAAGCCTTCCTCCAGCGCCCAGCTTCGAGCAAACCGGCAGAGCCTTCTCCAAGCCTTGGCAAGCAGACTCTCGCTTCCTAATGGGGAGTTTAGTTTGAGCTTGGGGTGTAGGCTTTTTGAGTCTAGGTGTCACATTACGTTTTCTGGCTTTGGGCGAGAGCCATGGGGCTTTGGGAACAGAGAGGGAATGTTTAGGGACTATAGGGTTTGGAAACAGCTCTAGCTTTGTTATCTGGTTTCAACGCTCGTGGACCTGAGAGGCTGGAACGGTGGCTTCTGGCAGAAAACTATGATGGTGAAGGGCTGGTGGTGGTGGTGCTGGTGTTCATGCTGGTGCTGCTGTGATGCTGTCGCTACTGCTGCTGATGAGCATGTTGTTTTGTTCATGATCGATGGTGACGATGGCGACAACGACATCTCGGTGGCCAGGGCGGTTGGGGTTAATGTTAGTGGTCTACTTACTGGCGTGCTTCCAGATTGCTTTTGCGAGAAGCACCTGTTCCGGAACAGCCTGGCATGCCACCTCAACCTGCCCATCTCCACGATGCTGCGCTAGTAAACGAAATAAACACGAGACCAAGAGCTGTGCATCATGTGTGCTTGATGTGGACAAGCCCTGGCCACTTATCTCATACCGCAAACCCCTTCTTAAATATGCAAAATCTGGAGCCCGGTAAAATCACCCGAAACAAGATCTGTCTTCCTCGTGTTCCCTTCAAGAGTTTTTCTGCGCGGGCGAGAAGTTGACGACGAGGCGGATTCGACCACGGTTTTCGCAGTTGGCCTGCATCATTGCATTGTACTTACGTGGGTGTGTATATAAATATACACACGCACATATAGGTAGATAGAGAGATAGGTAGGTAGATAGATAGATAGATGTGCATAATATAGATATATATATATACAGATATATAGATATATGGATATATACATACATAGATATATACATATATACAAATAAACATATAAACATATATACATATGTACATATATACATATATACATATATACATATATACATATATACATACAACATATATAACTTTATATAACATATATACATATATAGATATATACATATATACATATATACATATATACATATGTACATATATACATATATACATATATACATATATACATATATACATATATACATATATACATATATACATATATACATATATACATATATACAGATATACAGATATACAGATATACATATATACATATATACATACAACATATATAACTTTATATAACATATATACATATATAGATATATACATATACATGTGTGTATATATACATATACATACATACACCGGTGCATATAAAAATACATATATGATCTCATATATGTCCATCACTATATGTCTGATACTGTGCTATGTATACATGTGCATGCATGCAATGCAGATAGTTACAAGCTTACAAGCCCAGTCATAACAAAACATGTGTATGTATATGTGCGTATTTCTATATTTGACAGTATTTATGTATGTATGTATGTCTGTATGTATGTATGTATTGAAGGAACGAATGAATGAATAAGTAAATGTAGGTAGGTAGGTGGGTAGGTGGGTAGTTGGGTTGGTGGGTAGGTATAAGTATGCAGATAGATTTCCTTACCTGCACAGTATCGTTAAGTGCCACCCTACATGGCGGTTCACGGATATGACATGGTCTTGTGCCAGACAGGGGTTACACAGGGTCTTGTGTCAGACGGCTACAATAGTTACTATAGTTCTTGCGCATACAAACATGCGTGCCCAGGAAATGTGCAAACATTGGCGTGCATGCAGGGCAGCGCCGACATACACAGGGAAGTATCTATACAAGGTTCTGCAGGGTCAAGAGTAAAACTACTCTTCAGCCGTGCGGGTTCTGCGGTTAGGGTCGTTTGGGGTCAAGGGTTTCGTTCGACGTCGGAGTTGCAGATGGATGTTATAAATGTAATATGGGGCCTCAAGAAGGTTGACGCCTCTTAGCTCTGGCATCGGCATTCTCGAAAGAGTGGTCTTCGTGAAATCATGGCTGAAACCAAGGCAGAGGGACCTGATGTGCCTAATCCAGCTCCTTCCACAATCAAAGGCAATCCAGAAATCGTGAAGTTCTAAGGCCCTAAACTTGAATCCCTCGACCCTCAACCCCAAAATCCTAAAACTCTAGCGTCTAGAGCTCCAAATCCCCAAAGGCCAAACCCTGAAGCTCTGAAGCCTCGGCAGGGATTCCCAACTCTTCCAGCAGCTTGTAAACCATCTCCTGGATCCGGGAGCCTTGCCCTGGCGAGGGCTCCTTTTGACCCTGTAAAGATCAGTCTTGTCTCCGTGTCTCTGTGTATTTGTTCTCTTGGCTTTTTGGTGGTCTTTCATGGTAAGACAACAAAATCACGTCCATATTGGCCTGCAAAGTTTATCAGCGTCCTCCAGGCTCGGGACTCGAGTCTTCGGTCTGCTTGCCTGCTCGGTTGTTGCCGGAAGGATCCTTCCCGGACCAGAGCAGCTCAAAACTGAAGCTTAAGTGATGAACCACAATGCTGTGAAGCCCTTCGAGACTCGATCGATAACCCAGAACATCCCCAATTCACGCCATACAGGCCAGTAAAGAAACCTAGAAGCAACGCCCAACAAGCATGAAGAATTCACAAGCCCTCAACTCTGAACCCCAAACCCGAGCCCTCAAGCTAGGTCGAGAGCCCAGAGAAGAATCGTGGAACGCAATTTGCCGGGATGCCATCCGGTCGGGAGCGTCCCCAGCCCGTCACGATGATGCACTCCTATACTTGAAGATCAGGGATGCGCTGAAGGCCTTTTTTGCTTGGGGCGTTTCTGGTATGCTCCACACAGCGCAGCACTTTCGGCTGTCTTCAGATCGGCTGTAGTCCATAAGTCTTCAAGGAGTATGCTACAGGAGGAATCAAAAGACCCTGGTACTTCCTGCCCTCAAACCGAGAACCCGAAGCAACCACCTACAATCCCGGCATTCCCTTCACTTCCGAGATCTGTCAAGCTCTCAAGCTCAACCGCATGCGCGGAGGTTCCAGAAATTAGGGGTCGCCACATTGACATATGGATGACACAAACTCAGGTCTGTATCAGAAGAAAGGAAGTCCTGGTTTGAGACCGCCAGCTTTTGCAGCCTCTCGCAGCACAGCCGTGCAATGCGCGAAACAACACATGCTTTGCTCTGCGCACAGCCATAGCAGTTTCAGGTCTCAGAGTTTCGGGCTCGTGGTTTCTCAGGTTCATGTCCCGTGAAACCTCCTGAAGGCTATGCTGGGCGACCCACCCTAAAGCCCAAACCAAGGGCCAGACTATGCCACCCTTGGACCACTGCAGAGAAGCATCGTTCGTAAACTCACGTAGTTTTTTGCCAGTTAGGCATGCAGATTTTACGTAGAATCACGTAGAGTAGAGTCAATCCCAAACATGAAGAGAAAGCGGCCGTGTCATCCGGTGCAATTGGACGCTACACATCGTGCATCAGCCAATTGCAACTCAGCTGACCACATCCCAGACAGAAGCTGCGCGCCAGCTTGTACGAAAGGGGAAACGCTAGGCCTCTAAGCCTCCGCTGCAGCGCTCGACGGTCTCACCTTTGCACCTCGCGCTCCTGCTGAGACCCTTTGAACAAGCCCACCGAACCGACAATCCCAAGCCCCGAAGCTAGAATAGAATCCCAGAAGCCGAAGAGACACCTCTGAACCCCATGAAGCCCCGCACCTTCAACCCGCTAGAATCCCACCAAAATCCTAGATTCTGGTTCGGACCTCCACAGCCACCCGAATCCCACTTGCGAATGCCCCTGTGCTCTCATACTTGTGTTGAAAAGAGCCTGGAACCCGGCCCCCTCCCGAGAAACAGCAAACAAAGCATGCCTCTGCAGCCACCAGCGCACAGCCGCCGCGGCAGCTCCAACGGAGAGCCCGTGGAGGTCCAAGGTGCGACAGCCCTGGCTATCATGAATCAGGAGGCCTTCATAATCAAGCCTGGCTTTGCCCAATTATTCATTCAGCCCCTCTTGGATTAGCAAAGGCTTCAGGAGCCTCCAGAAAGTGGGATACGGTGCTATCGGTCTCAGAACATGAAGCGTCGGGTCAGGTTCCACAGGTGCTGGGCTGCAGAGAAGGTCTCAGAACCTTGTAACACGCCACCTGAGATCGCAAAATCCACAAGTATGAACCCTGGGCCCTTGGAAACCAATCTCGTAAGGGCAACCCAGGTGTTCGTCCCGCCTGTGCCATCTCGGCAAACTGCGGAAAAATCTGGCGGTCGACTGCCTGGTTAAGGGTTGGGTTTCACATGTTTCACCGTTCAACCAGGGCTCAGGTTTGCAGGTGTGGAAGGGCTTGTACATGTTGAAGGCTGGTGCGGTGAGATGTGATGTGGTGGTCCAATGCCTGCACTTTTCTACCAGCTGTCGTCTCAAGCAAGAGTTGAAGACCGAGAAGTCCGGATGCAGTTGAGCGGCCGACCGAGATCCCAAGCACCGAGGCCCCTAAGATACTTATGCCCCATACACCGCTGTACCATCGTGTACCCCCAACATCCCTGAACCCCATCTCCGACCTCTTGGAACAATGCCTGCCCGAGGTCATTGCTCGGAATGCCATCCAGTGCTGCGCAGTACGCCCAACGAGCATTGTGACCTGGCTACGCTTCGTATGGCTGAAGGTTGTACAGGGCTTTTTGGGCTTTGCTGTAGGCGTTGCACGGTGATCCAAAGGCTGTGAAGATGTGGCGAAATATGGAGGAATAGGGTTCTGGTGCATGCTACGCGAACATGCACAGGGACGAATTAACCACGACAAAGTGCGCAAGTCGTCGCCTAAACCCATGTTTTGGAACCAGCTAAGCAAGGGGCGACGCACAATGCAGAACTGGAGATTGTCAACTCTGAAAGTAGAAAGTCTCTTCAGGATGTTTCGGGATTGAAGGGTTCAGCCCGAAGGACTTTATAATACTGTGCTCAATCGCGGTCGTGGGTTTCGGCTACTAATCACTAGCAGCACTGCGCAGACTCAAGCCTAAACCTGGAACACTTGTGCTATGCAAGGGGCTGCAAGCCGTGTGACTAGGTAAACACACTAGGTCAGTCAAGTCTGTGTTACTCTCTCTGAAACCAACGTGGCAACAAAAGCCCCAAACGCCTACGGCCCTGTAGCCTCAAGCGAAGCCTGGACTTCAAGGTATAGAGACACCATTGCCTTTTGGCAAGTCGAGGTTCGCCATCTCTGACAGGAGCCATACTGCCTTCCGTTGAAGCTTCGAACTGTAGGAATGCGGGTGGCACAGGGCTTAGCCATCTAGAGTCCGTTACTTCGGGCTGCAGGTAAAGGGTTTGGGTAGGGACTACAGGATGGGAGGGAAGCCCTTGTGATTGCCGGTGTCACGGGCAAAGGTCTTGCCAGTAGGAGTACGAGTAGGAGTGGAAGTGGGAGTGGGAGTCGAAGTGGCAGTGAGAGTAAGGGCACAAGTCGGAGAAGGAGTAGGAGGGGAGTAGTAGTAGTGGTGGTGGTGGTGGTCGTAGAAGTGATAGCAGAAGTGCCAAAGTGCCAGTAGCTGTGATGGTAGTAGTAGTAGTAGTAGTAGTAGTAGTAGTAGTAGTAGTAGTAGTAGTAGTAGTAGTAGTAGTAATGAGTAGTAGCAGTATTAGTAGTAGTAGTAGTAGCAGCAGCAGTAGTAGTAGTAGCAGCAGTGGTAGTAGTAGTAGTCGTAGTAGTGGTAGCAGTAGCAGTAGCAGTAGCAGTAGCAGCAGCAGCAAGCAGTAGCAGTAGCAGTAGCAGTAGCAGTAGCAGTAGCAGTAGCAGTAGCAGTAGCAGTAGCAGTCGCAGTCGCAGTCGCAGTCGCAGTGGCAGTGGCAGTGGCAGTGGCAGTGGCAGTGGCAGTGGCAGTGGCAGTGGCAGTGGGAGTAGGAGTAGGAGTAGGAGTAGGAGTAGGAGTAGGAGTAGGAGTAGGAGTAGGAGTAGGAGTAGGAGTAGGAGTAGTAGTAGAAGAAGAAGTAGTAGCAGTAGTAGTAGTAGTAGCAGCAGCAGTAGTAGTAGTAGCAGCAGTGGTAGTAGTAGTCGTAGAAGTGGTAGTGGTAGTGGGAGTCGTAGTGGAAGTGGTAGTGGCAGCGGTGGCGGTGGTGGTGGTGGTGCTGGCGGATGACAGGCAGCGGCGACAGAAGCAGCAGTCGCTATTCGCTGCCCTATAGTCGTGGTGAGAGCAGCCGCCAGCGCGCTAGCTGTAACGATTGCCGCTGTCGTTGTGCAGAAAAACCAAACTAACGCTCGAAGCAAAACCGGCCATACGCTTAACATAAAATCTCAACTTCGGGATTCAGGCCTCGGTCCATCGGCGTTCTCGGCCATGGGCCGCTATTGCAGCCCGGAAGCCTCAGAGCCCAGCGCAACCCCTGCTATCTAAATCACGCCCAAAGGCAAATTCTGGCCAGGACTGCGCACAGAAAAAGTTTTTAGAACAACACCGAGCGCAGGTTGCGATATGCCCCATGCCAAGGTCTTACTCTCCAGAATCGAGCCTCAACCGAAGCCCCTCCCCTCAAAAACATAGTAATACGAGCACCCTGCAAAGTAATTTCCTAGTCACTGTAAGGTTCTCAAGGGAAGCATTCCTTACTCAACCTATTGATGACCCCTTCTTGCCCTCCTACAGCCCAGCAGCTCGAAGCCTCGAAGCTCAAACTCCCGATCCTCAAACCTTCGTATTATGAACCGAAGAAGCGCACCCTGCACTAATGCAAGGTTTCGCTCGGAGTTGGATTTAGGGTTTTGGGTTCGGGGTTCCAGAACAGCTCTTGGTTGAAGTAGTTGTCTTTAGAATGAAGAAGCCGTCGGATGAGCCCTGATGGGTTTAGACTTCATAGGCTGTGCGGTTGAGGGTTGGGTTCAGCAGGCTTCGTCGGATAAAAGGGGTTGAGAGGCTTGAGCGGGGAGCCCCTTACAGTATCGAGCTTCAGAGACGGAAAGCCTTCAAAAAGACCAGACTACCCATGGCTCGTGGCTTGTGATTCCTGAATCCGCAAACCACTCGACCCCAAGCCGGAGAGCTTGACGCATCAGGGAGACTCTGTGCTTTGCGTAGATCGGCAGGAAGCCTGAGGCAAGGGTGTCGGGTGAATCACATTTCATGGCTGGGGGTCGTGGCTCAAGGAGGCCTGGGGTATGAGGTCGGCTCTTGACTCTTGATGAAGGTGACGGTAATACGAACATCAACGATACGGACACTTCCGTTTTGAGAGTACACGATTGCGTTCTGGAACACTATAAACAATGAGGGATCGTATGTCGGCATTTGTAATCATTTCGACATGGAACATAGCAATAATGAAGGGGTCTCCCACACAATCCTCATCCTGACACAGGGCGAGTTGTTTCGCAGCCGCGGTGTCGATTCGCGGAGCGCCTCCTTCTTTAATTTACGGCGCAGCAGCGTTACTGTGGCAGGAGGACGAAAGTTCGTCGTTGTCTTGCATGTTGGTCTTGAACCCCCGCGTCCTCGACATGAGCCCATATAGACAAATGCGACGAAACTTTAATCCTGGCGATATAGTCGCGGTTGACTCGGTTGACTGTCCTGAACGCGCTTGCTTTCGGGGCGACCTCGATGCTGAAACGTCGCAAACATAAACCCAAACTCAAGCTTTCAAGCCACAATCACAGCATCTCCTCAGAGTCTCAAGATGCAAGATTGTAAGAAACCGTGACTGGGGCCTAGGCCTAGAGGTAGATTCTAAGGCCTTGGTTTGAAGCCTCGGTTCGGGTGCGGGTGGGAAACTTCAACCAGTCCAAACGTTTTAGGGTCTTGGGGTGTCTGGTGATGTGTAGAAAGACTTCTCGACCGACAGATCTGAAGGGTTCGACCTGCGGCTGCCGCCCGACGCGGGAAGGCGAGGCGGCGGTGGGGGCGGCTTGCCTCCGCGGCAGGCTCTACTCGAGCTACAACTGCGAACTCTTTCGGCGTTGGGAAGCTTGCACGGACGCTGGTCCAAAATCTTAGACCCATGATCGGCATTTTTGAATCGTTTGCACCACGAGCATCACATCGCATAAGCATGTTCCCTGCTGCCACCTCAGCACTTCCGTTACTTCATTCAGGTTCCGGAGATGTTGCCGAAAATACCAGCTTGAATGCTGCGTGGCTTCTTAACTGGTGCCAAGACAGCCTTGACGCAGAAGTATGGGCGCTCAACAAAATCATAAAAACACAGCACAAGGCTGTTGACCTCCACAAAAAAAACAAACAAACAAATCATTGGCATCCGCTGGTGGTGGACGATTTGATCGATGAGCCGAATTTTGTAAGATACGCAAGTCTACCACAGGGGTTGTGCTCGTCAGGTCGTGACAATGCCATGCCATGAAGTGTACCAACTCAGCAAAAATGCGCCAGCAAGGGTTATTAGCTGCTCTGTTTCTATGCAGACTCGAGAACATGAACGAAGCCAATGCATGTGTACAAGTCAAAACGAATTGTACATTCAGTCCATTGGTTAGAGCTTCCCCAGAGCCCTAATCCGAAGATGTCAGCATCTCCAAACACTGTCAAAGCCCCAGACAAACACCACGACTCCTGAAATCCGGGACCTCCACCCCCTGAAACGGTATGCTTCGGGACACTTGGCGGAAGGGGCCGTCGGAGCAGTCGTCGTGGTCCCAGCGCAATGGGCGGCGGTGGCTTCATGCTCCAGGCTTTTTCATGGCAGCGGTTCAAGTTCGGAGCTTGGAGTTAAGGGGGCGAGATTGGGCATTGGGGTAGAGGTGCTCTCCAAAGTGACAGGCTGCAGAGTCATGGTATCAGTGTTGGTGTGGGGATATGTAGGGCATTGTGGCCCCTACCCATGCTGTTTCAGTAGAAAGGCCGTATGTATTCCTCACCCGTGCGCAACAAGCCGCACCATTATAATCCGAAACCATCCGAGAACGGCGGCCTCAGTCAACCATCCCCACACCAGATATGATGTAAGCACAGCAAGTATGTTTGCGCAGGAACAAGCAAGGTGCGTTGGGAGAAGCACTGCTGCACCAAATGCAGCAATGCTACTTCCTCTGGCAGGAGCTGCTAAAGGAAGTGGGATTGCTGCATTTGGTGCCGCAACACTTCTCCCAACGCGCCTTGCTTGCTCCTGCGCAAGCAGGTGGCTCAGATCCACTTCCCTCTCCGGCTTGCCCGCGCACGGTGGGACATCCATGCACACGGGGAACAACCCACACGAGCTGCTCTGAAGACATATACTTTGCACTTTGCCCAACCTTGGTATCAAGGCATGAAGTGGCACAACCCTTGGAGGTATCAAGGCATAAAACACCTATAAACCACAATACAATCAACCACAGTACAAACTTCAACTGTCCGTCACAGCCGATGATCTGGGCGCGAACTCATATCATGCAGCTCAAATCGTGCACACCCGATGCTGTCGGCTCTCTGGTTTTGCTCCGCTACCCAGGAGCGTGGTGATCCATCGGCGGCTCGCTGCCGCTGCCGGGAAGTGCTTTGCTGAGTCTGAGGGGCGTTGCTCTAGGTCCCTAGTTCGTAAGACGCCTGAGCGTTGATGTTATCCCGCAGCAGTAGCCCGAGTCGACTTCAAGTGCCCCCCAAACCTTCTAGGACTGGTGGCACGAGTGTGGGCAAACTAGGCGTTGCTTCCCCAGATCGCACAGCCATGCCGACGCAGTGTGATGGCTTCTGGGCCTTCAAAAAACCAGCAAATAGATATGACTCTGGGATCCCCTCGACAGAGATGCAAAGGCTACGGAATTTTCTGTGGCTTCCTTTCGGGGAGTAAACGTGGCCAATCGTCGAGCGCAGGGCTGATGACTATGGGGCTTCGGCAACTGTGGCATTGCACATCTGTGATCATCTGTGGTTCTTGGCTTTATGCAGACCAGGCGGCTTTTGTTGCATTGCGTCCCTGGCCCACTATAGACTAGTTAAGCCGTGTGGTGCTTGGACGTGGGGATTGCATGCACGGTCCCCATGTGAGATGTCAAATGGCTTCGGCAAGAGGCTGCGCTACTGCTGCTTTGGATTATGGTTTACCCCACCACAAGAAATCCACCAGCCGAGAAGTCTGTTCAGTCTTTAACCGAAGACCTTAGTCTGAGGGAGGCGAGACGGTTTGCGTCCGAAATCAAACTTAAACATATGGCTGAAATACCGACCCCAAAACAAAGGACCCTGAAGCTGTTGTTGTACTTTCAAGCCCTGTCGCTCTGGGCCGACCACCGCCTAAGCCTCCACCATGTGGCCCTCTACCTGCTTCTGTGCGCTTGGCTTTTTCGGCTTCCGCGAACGACGCAGTTCAGGATCACGGGTTTGGGGTGTCGCAAATTTAAATTTGCGTCATTTGCGGATGTCCGTCGGATCATTCGCAAGCATGGGTCTGTGAACCCCCAAGAATGTTGGGGCCAATATTTGAAAGCTGCTGCGTGTAGAGAAAGCCACGACGTGATCGATGTTCAACGTATGGGTGCAAACTTGGACAGACTCCAAAACCTCGGCTTCAGAGGCGGCGTCTGTCTATGAACTCAGAGACCCTCGTTCCTCAGTTGATACGCTACTGGGAACTCCGGGGAGGTGTTTCGACTTCGACCTACACCCGTTTTCTTGCAGCACCAAGCAATCAAAGGTCCTCCACCCTCCTGGTAGGTAAACAAAAATCTTCACCTGTCCCCTTCCCCCGCCCCGAGAACAATGCAAAACAATCGCACCTTAGTACGACAGCAACAAAGACCCTGCTACGACAGCAAACGGCCTCGACAACACAAAGTTCTTTTTCTGCAATCGTGCTCCAAACACAACCGAACTTGAATGCCCAAGCGAAATTGAAGATCAGTCGACTTTGCAGGCTCCAGAGTCTCTAATTCGACGTGTCAAAACGCTACGCCGCAAGGCCGAAAGCCCTCGAATTCCTTTATTACAAGCCCGCTATCAAGCCCCAAATTCAGAAACGCGGAAGCGGACTGTCACCCTGAAGACTGAAGCCTTGAAGCCCACGGCCCTGAACAGTTCAGCAGCCTCCATTCGCCAATCCGGCGACAGCTCGGCCTGTCCGGACTTTACAAGCTGAGGCTTCGTGGATTTGGTGCTTCACAGTTTCACGGTTTTAATGTTCTTTGCGGCCCGCGGTCTTTCCGGGCTGAAAGCTCTTGGATTCTAGGCATTCGGGCCGCTTGTGCTTCAGGGCTTTAGAGTTGGAAGTATTCCTGTCGACACCTGTCCCTTTCATGGCTTGTCTTGGAACTGTCGCTGGCGGTGGGAGCAGAACCGTTTCCGGGCTTATAGTCATACACCTGTCACGCTTTGAGGTCCCCTCCTAATACCCAACCCCACAGCACACGATCCGGTC